AGGAGGAGGAGGAGGAGGAGGAGGAGGAGGAGGAGGAGGAGGAGGAGACGGAGGAGGAGGAGGAGGAGGAGGAAGAAGAAAATTAGGAAAAGGAGGAAAAGAAGAAAATGAAAAAGAAGAAGATATAAAAGACGAAGAAGAAGAAGAAGATATAAAAAAACGAAGTGGACTTAGTAGGAGATAAAAGCTTTATGCAATCATCTCCTCTCGCTTCTTCCATCTCCTTGTCCTTCCTAATCCCTGATCGTGTTTCTGGGAAAGGTTACAGGTAAACATGACAACAGGCGTATTTACCTGTTACTCTCCCTCCCTGACTTTTCCCCCTCTTTCTTTCATTCTTTCTTTCTCTCTCTCTCTTTCTATCTATCTCTCTTCTCTTTCTATCTCTCTCTCTTTCTTTCTTTCTTTCTTTCTTTCTTTCTTTCTTTCTTTCTTTCTTTCTTTCTTTCTTTCTTTCTTTCTTTCTTTCTTTCTTTCTTTCTTTCTTTCTTTCTTTCTTTCTTTCTTTCTTTCTTTCTTTCTTTCTTTCTTTCTTTCTTTCTTTCTTTCTTTCTTTCTTTCTTTCTTTCTTTCTTTCTTTCTTTCTTTCTTTCTTTCTTTCTTTCTTTCTTTCTTTCTTTCTTTCTTTCTTTCTTTCTTTCTTTCTTTCTTTCTTTCTTTCTTTCTCTCTGTCTCTCTCTCTCTCTCTCTCTCTCTCTCTCTCTCTCTCTCTCTCTCTCTCTCTCTCTCTCTCTCTCCCCTCTCTCCTCTCCCTCCTCTTCCTCTCTCCCTCTACTCCTTCCTCTTCCTCTCTCCTCTACCCCCCCCCCCCCCTCGCGCCCGCCGTCTCTCTAGACCATCGCACCGCTGCTTAAGAACACTGCTGTTTGTATCATCGTCCTGGCACTTCGCTTTTGCAGGCTCGTTGCTCTCGTCTTGCCATCTTGCTATTTTCTCTCCGCGTGTACAGGGCTGCGTCTCTGTTTGGTCTACTTGAATATATATTGTGTGTGTGTGTGTGTGTGTGTGTGTGTGTGTGTGTGTGTGTGTGTGTGTGTGTGTGTGTGTGTGTGTGTGTGTGTGTGTGTTTACCTGTCTGCCCGCCAATCCATATCACACACTCTCTCTCTATCTCTCTCTCTCTCTCTCTCTCTCTCTCTCTCTCTCTCTCTCTCTCTCTCTCTCTCTCTCTCTCTCTCTCTCTCTCTCTCTCCATAAGGGCCCATAAATCCCTAGTAACGATGCAGCACCCACTAAGAAAGTGTTCATGCCAACGCCTGTCCCATAAAGAGGCAAATATATCCCCCGCCCAGTCTTTCGGGGCCGAAGTCCTTCCACGCCCATGAAACGTTTATGACATTTTCAGCGCCCACCCTGCATGCGAGAACCCCTTCCCCCCTCCCCCAGCCCTCTCCGCAACTCTCTTTAGGCCGCGTCTTGTCCACACCCCAAGGGCCGGGAGGCCTTGAGGCTGGTCAGAGGCCTCGCCCGGCGCACTGATGATCAAGGACGTATATACATGTGTATATGCGCGTGTGCACACACGCACACACACACACACACACACACACACACACACACACACGGGGATCTGTGTATTCAAAGCACAGATTAGAGCTCAGGCCGAACATAATGGAATATTTAATGAACAAAATGTTCAGCACTATGCTCTGTTTAAACAAGGATCGCCAAGTACACAGCAACAAGCAGAGTTCAACATGTGTGCAACAAGAGAAACGGGGTCGCGCTGAGGCTCGGCAACGGGAACAAGAACCGACTTCCGCGAGGAGGACCTAGGAAGAACAGCCACGGGCCACCGAGAATGGGGCACCAAGAACAGGGCACCAGAACAGGGCACCAAGAACAGACACCTGCGGAGTACAAGAACAGACAGCCTACGGACAGAACACAAAGAACAAAAAAGTGCGGAGAATAGAGCACCAAGAATCAGACATAGGAAGAACACCTCGAAGAGACCTAACCAAAGAACAGAGAAACCAAGAACAAGGCACACGAAGAACACAACATCGAGAACAGCGAGAGGGATGAGAGCAAGACCCCCTCCGTAGCACAAGAGCAAAGACGAGGCACCTCCAGCTAACGTTACAGCTCCAAGGTGACGCGAGGGTTGCCAGGGACGCCAAACGAGAGAGAAAAACAAGGCGCTGGGAGGAAGCACGCCAAAGCCACGGCAACGGAAGGCAAACGACACAGCGACACAGCAGCCGGAGGGAAACATCAATAACACAGCAACAGAAGGAAACAAGCACCAAAATCACAGACGAAACATAAATCGATAGCACAGCACCGGACGGAGACAAACACCAGTAACACCCCATCAAAGAGAACCATACACCGAGCAGAAACTGTACCAGGAAGATACATTCAGAGGAAAAACGCCAAGAGGAAAAACGTTCCCAAACCACAGCAATAAGAAAAACGTTCACAAAACACTAGTAACAAGAGGTACTAGAAGAAAAACGTTCCCAAAACCATAGTACCATAAGGGAAAAAAATGCTCCCAAAACCATAGTACCATAAGGAAAAAAATGCTCCCAAAACCATAGTACCATAAGGAAAAAAATGCTCCCAAAACCATAGTACCATAAGGAAAAAAATGCTCCCAAAACCATAGTACCATAAGGAAAAAAATGCTCCCAAAACCATAGTACCATAAGGAAAAAAATGCTCCCAAAACCATAGTACCATAAGGAAAAAAATGCTCCCAAAACCATAGTACCATAAGGAAAAAAATGCTCCCAAAACCATAGTACCATAAGGAAAAAAATGCTCCCAAAACCATAGTACCATAAGAAAACCGTTCCCAAACGACAATAAAAAGAAAAACGTTCGCAGACCCATAGTACCGAGAGGAAAAACGTTCCCAAACGACAGCATTGGGGAGAAGCCGCTGGGCAAAACCACGAGGCGGGAGGCCGAAGAGGCCGCCGCCCGCCGCCCGCGGGCAGGAGGATCCCCGAGCAAGAAACGCAACTCCTGACACATCCCCTTCAAGAACTGCAACTCCAGACTCCTCCTGCAACCTTTCCGGCTCCCAGAACACATTGTGCTGCCTCTTTCTCCCTCTCTCCCTCATTCTCTTCCTTGTTCTCCCTCTCCTTCTCTTCCTTGTCCTCCCTTTTTCCCTCCATCCATTCCCCCCTCTGACTCTCCGTCCCCTTCCTAACCCCTCCTCTTTCCCTCTCGTACTCCCATCTTCTTCCCCTCCCCCCCCCCCCTTTCTCCCGCCCTCTACTTCCGCGTTCTTCTTTCCTCCCCTTCCATGTTCTCCATCTCCTTTCCTCCCCTCCACCTCCCCCTCCCCCCTCCCCATATCTTCCCTTCTCCCCCCTTCCCCCTCTCCTCTAGTTATCCTTCCCGGAACTCCCTCATTCGTCCCTGTTACTCCCCGAACGCCTCTAATACTTTCGTTGTTCCCGGAAGCGAGCGAGAACGCCCCCCCCCCACCCCCGACCCTGCCACTCAACCCCTTCTCCAGGGCAGGGTTTGGGGGAGAGGCAAGGGCCGGGAAGAGGAGGAGGAGGGGGCGGGGGACGGAAAGAGAAGGGGGGGGGAGAGGAGGGACGGGAAGAGAGGGGGGTAAAGAGGGGGGGAGGGGGCATAGGGGAGTCGGGAAGAAGGGGAAGAGAGGGGGCACCGGAAAGAGAAGGGAGGGGGGAGGGGGGCACCATCCCCGAGCCGCGTGAACCGCTGGTATTTACATTTCCCGTAAACAATCGTCTCTCCCGGGCCATCAGAGGCGGCGTTCGTTCGCGCGACGGCAGCATCCGCTTTAACGTCGCCCCGAACGAACGCAGCCAACCCCGAGAGCGGCCCCGACCCGAGCGAACGCGGCGGCACTCGGGGGCCGAATGGACGGACTTTCGAAGCCTCTCGCTGTCCTTCCTTCCTGAGTTACGAAGTGGGGCGGGAAGGAGGGGGAGGGGGAGGGGTCTCCTTTTACCTCTCGATGCCGTTACCTAAAAGTAGGGCGTGAGGGAAGGGGAAAGGAAGAACGTCTGCCATTTCCTTCCTTCTAGCCCCTAGTCTTTCTTTTGCCGATCCTTTTTATCATTATTTTTATTTCATTCTTACTGCCATCATTGTCCTTATTATCATTATCATTACCATTATTATAAATTTCACTATTATTGCAAGGATTCTTGAAACACATTTTGCCGTCTTCCTTTACTTTACAAAGTGAAGAAAAGGGAGATGAAGGGGGAGACTGGAGAAGGGAAAATAGGAATGGAAGAAACGAATATATATTTCCCCTCTCATCACCCTCTCTTTTTTCTTTTTTCTCTCCCCAATTCATCACCATCATCTTCTCTTCTTTTAATGTCTTTCGTAAGATCGTCTTTCCCCCTACCCATTTTCCTTTAATTTTACTACCTTCTTTCTTATGAGGCCGACCTCTGAATCGCAGAAACACGCCATCACTTTCTCTCAAAATCGCCAACTCAAATCCAGCCCATTCAAAAAAAAAGGTCAATCCTGAAACCTTAAAATCCACGACCTTTCCCGAACAAGGTCATAAAGACGAAAATGGCAGTGTGGGGACGGTTTAGCCTCGTCTCTAGAATAACAACAAACGCACAAGTGATGAATAACAAGACAACAAACTGATGACCACGGAGTGACTATGACAACTACACTTCAGGGGAGACTAGGGCATTAATACGCCATTAGCTACCGCGTCAGTATAATATAATACATATAATATATATATATATATATATATATATATATATATATATATATATATATATATATATATATATATATATATATACACACACACACACACATCAGGATTAATTCCCTAGACCACAATTACCAAAGAGAAAAAGAAGAAAAAGCCCAAAGGCACATTTCCACAAACACAAGACCCTCATCTGCCAACAGCACTCGGAGCCCAAGTTCCCCGCTATCGGAAAACAATAGAAATTCTCGCGGCCCGGCCGTGTTTACTCTCTTATATCCGCGAGTACACAACTTCTATCGCAAATCCATGCTAATTGATCACTTGTCGCTGATCCACTTGTGGCGGGCCGGGGAAGGGGTGGGGAGGGGGGAGGGGAAGGGGAAGGAGAGGGGGGTAGAGGGAGGGGGAAGGGGGGGAAGTGTGGGTGGAAAGGGGGGGAAAGAGAAGGGGGGAGAGGGAGAGGGGTGTTAAGAGCGAGGGATGTGTGTTGTGGCGAGAAGGTTCTGTGTGGTAAGAAGGTTCAATTTCAGCAAGAGGTTTAGTGAGGTAAAGGAGCTCGATCTGGACAAAAAAATTCACTGTGAGGAGAAGGCTCGATATGGTCAGGAGGTTCAACGGGAGTAACTACAATAAACCTTCTGATTAAAAAAAAAAGATCTAAGACATAAAAAAAAATTCAATAAAGAAGCCTCACTACAGTAAATAGGTTCAGTGCGAAAAAAAGTCCAAAGAGACAAAAAATACAAGAAATAAGTTTGGAAAGGTTTCAAGACTCGAACAACGCGCACTTGAAATCACATCACGTGGGAACATTCCTTCAGAAAAGGAATCTTCACGTGAGACGCAAAGGTTGGCTGGCACGGGAAGGGGGGGGGAGGGAGGGAGGGAGGGAGGAGGAGGAGGAGGAGGAGGAGGAGGAGGAGGAGGAGGAGTAGGAGGAGGAGAACAACAAGAAGGAGGAGGAGGACGAAACGAAGAAGAAAAAGAGAAGGAAGAAACAAGAGTGATGATAATAATAATAATAATAATAACAATAATAATAATAATAACAATAATAATAATAATAATAATAATAATAATAATAATAATAATAAAAACAAGATGGAGACGGAGAAGGGAAAAATGATGAGGAAGAATAAGGGAAGGAGGAGTATATGATGAAGAAAAGGCCAGAGACGAAGAAGATGGAAAAGAGGTAAAGAAAAACCAAGAAAAAGAGCAGGAGGAGGAGGAGGAGGAGACGAGGAGTATGTTAATATATCGTCCATACGTCAAGTGTCTGAAGCAGTTGTGACGTCACGAGCGTTGTGTGCGCGCGAGCCAGGGATGAGATGGACTCCTGATGAGGCTGCCAGAACCCCTGTCATGGGCGACCCACTATTCTCGAAGACACGTCTCCTCACTCCCTTCATTCTTTTTTTCTAATTAAGTGATAAACGAGGAAAGAATGGGAGGGGGAAAAAAGGGAAAAGAAAATCAACAACTGAAAATGACTTGTCTTTACATTCCTCTCCTGTCCGTAAGAAAAGCTGGCATTAGTGACATACCGTTCTCTGGCACACTTGGCTTTCTTTATTCTTCTTATGATTAAACGACAGATAGGGAAAGAGGGAATAATGGGAAGAAAAGCAAATCAACAGACGAAAAAATGATAGCTAAGGCCTACTCGTCTGTTCCTGTGCCAACCAGAAAACCTGGCGATCCTGTTTACTCTCTTAAACGTCTCTTCATCTGTCTCTTCATCTCTCCTCGTCCTTCTTGTGATGAAAATTATAAACAAGGAACAAAGACAATGACAAAGGCAAAGGACAAGCGTAAAATGAGAACAACTTGAATTGGCGGTTTGTTCTAGAGGTCAGCAGACGAATAAATTCCTGTCGCAAATACATCGGGGACAGTCGGTCGTCGCCCCCCCCCCCCTTCGTCTGCGGTGGCCGTCTTAGTCGCCCGGTCTATCCCTCTCCTATTGCTTAGTGTCATAGGTAAATATTTTTATATTTAGGTACATGTGTCTAGCGGACAATATACATACGAACGCATGTAAAGTGAACACATATGCAAACAGATTTACATCCGCATACACGCACACACATCGATCCGCACGCTCAAATATACACACGCGTACACAGCCGTCCTTAAAAGCCCGTCCACCAACGCATCCGGACATCTCCCGCCCACGCCCCCGCCCCCACCCGTCTCACCCGGCAACAAGGCAAGGCAGGTCGAGGCAGCGCCCGCGACCGCCACTCGCCGCAGCCGCACTAATTTTAGCATCACACTCGCCTTGACCTTTGCCGTACGAATGCTGCGTTCAGCATGACCTCCCGTGACCTTCTTTGGAATGTGCTGAGGCCCCATGACGTTTAAATTTCGCATGAATGGTCTGAAAACTCGTGGTGATTTTTATTATGTGCTGGCCCCTCGTGGCGGATCGTCTGACCTTCTGAAGAATGCGCTGAACCCTCGTGGTCCCTGACCTGACCTCTCTAGGGATGAGATGATCTAACCGCTGAACCCTTATTACCTAGAAGTGCGTTCTGAACCCGTACGATTGGTGACCTGACCTTTGACATGTACTGAAGCCTCGTGATGTACGACCTGACCTTTTGGGAATATGCTCAATCTGCATGAGTGGTAACCCGACCTTCCTGAGAATACACACGAACTTTTCCTGATTCATGACCTACCTCTCCTAAGACTCTAGTGACCTTCTCTGTGTGACATCTGACCTTTCTCCGAAGAATGCAGGTACTGACCTTATCTAACCTTTGCGCACGGATGGACCCCTTGAGATATATATTGCATTAGTTAAGTTTAATTGGCGTATTATATGCTTCCGCAGCTGTGTACTAATACGCATAAAACCTCATTATTTTTTCTTGTGTCTTAGCTTGTTTCGAACTGCCCCCTATATAAGGGAATTGGCATTAAGGTCATAAGACGCTGTGACCTTTTTTTCATTTTTTTTAGTTTTTCGTCCCAGCAGCATCGCCGTGACAAGTCAAGATAACCCTTCCAGAATCCATACTCACGGTCGGTAATTGCTTGCGCTCCTCCCCTCTCTCCAGTACTCTTACAGAACACTCACCTGGAAAAAAAGAAAAGAAATTAGTTTGGTAAAAAAGGCTACAAAAACAGAATGGACATATAACAATGCTCGTCTTCCTGAAGTGTCTAAGTGCATTTGTTTTATTTCTGTGCATGTTATCATCATCATCATCATCATCCTCATCCTCATTATCGCTATCAACGCCGTCACCATCGCCATCATCCTCTACCTCCTCCTCCTCCTTCTCCTTCTTTCTTTCTTTCTTCTTCTCTTTCTCCTCCTCTTCATCGGTCTACTCTCTTCCTCTCCTTCGTTCTTTCCTTCTTTTACTCTCCATCACCTCCATCTCCTCTTCCCCCCCTCCTCCTCCTCCTCCTCTTCCTCCTTTCTCTCCCCCCCTTCTTTCTTCTCCTCTTCGTACCCTATCCCTATTGCTTCTACTCCTCTTCCTCTTTTTTCCTCCTAGCCTTCCTATCCCCTTCTCTCCACCTTCTCTCTTCCTGCCCCTTTTATCCCTCCTCCCCTACGCCCTCCTACGTTGATTCGAATAATTTGTAGAAAATTGGAAGATAGAATTTGGGTTCTTTATTTAGACATTGCAGGGGGATATAGATATGGGGAGAGAGAGAGGAAGAGAGAGAGGAAGAGAGAGAGAGAGAGAGAGAGGAGAGAGAGAGAGGAGAGAGAGAGAGAGAGAGAGAGAGAGAGAGACAGAGACAGAGAGAGAGAGAGAGAGAGAGAGAGAGAGAGAGAGAGAGAGAGAGAGAGAGAGAGAGAGAGAGAGAGAGAGAGAGAGAGAGAGAGAGAGAGTGCGTTAAAATGCATAAAATCAATCAATAAATAAACAAATAAAACCAAACACACACAGAAAACAAACTACAGTGAAAATGTGCAGCACTCGAAGCCAACAGAAAACGGAAACAGAACCCCCCCCACCTTATCCTTTATAATCCCAAAGGCAAAACGACCCAGAACCTCCCCCACTTTTCCCCCCTTCCCCCCCCCCTGTTTTCCCCTCGTTTCCCTCCTCTTTTCCCCTCGACTCTCCCTCATGCCATCGCAGGCAACCTTTCATCCCCTTCCCAGCGCCCGCAATGCATGATTGCATGACTAATCCGGAACTAAAGCTTCTAATCTAACTAATGAAAGAATCAATTACCCATTCGCGTCATGTCAAATTACGGTGGTAAAAGAGGATTCCGGATGACCGCCTTTTAGTATGTGTGCACAGGGAACACGCACACGCACACGCACACGCACGCGCACACACACACACACACACACACATATATATATATATATGAGAGAGAGGGAGGGAGGGAGGGAGGGAGGGAGGGAGAGGGAGAGGAGAGGGAGAGGGAGAGGAGAGGGAGGAGAGAGAGAGAGAGGAGAGAAAGAGAGAGAGGGAGAAAAGAGAGAGAGGGAGAGAAAGAGAGAGAGGGAGAGAAAGAGAGAGAGGGAGAAAAAGAGAGAGAGAGGGAGAAAAAGAGAGAGAGAGAGGGAGAAAAAGAGAGAGAGAGGGAGAAAAAGAGAGAGAGAGGGAGAAAAAGAGAGAGAGAGAGGGAGAAAAAGAGAGAGAGAGGGAGAAAAAGAGAGAGAGAGGGAGAAAAGAGAGAGAGAGGGAGAAAAGAGAGAGAGAGGGAAAGAGAGAGAGAGGGAGAGAAGAGAGAGAGAGGGAGAGAAAGAGAGAAAGCGAGAGAAAGAGAGAGAGGGAGAGAAAGAGAGAGAGGGAGAGAAAGAGAGACTGACAAAAACAAAAAAACAAAAAAATAAAACCAAAGTTGGAAAAAACACACAACAAAAAAAGACCAACATTTACACAAATCCCACTAACAGAAAATGTAAGTGTATGTGTGTGAGAGAATGTCCATACATATATATACACATAAATATATACATAAGTACACAAGCACTTATACATACAGAGATACAAACATACATACACATACATGCATGCAGACAACCATACAAACACAAACACATACACACACACATCCACCCCTACAAACACACAGACATACATACACGCAACCATACAAACACACAGGCATACAGACATCCATCCATCCATCCACCCACACATACAGCCAAACACACATCCATCCATCCATCCACAATGCAACAGCAGCATGACCCCCACCCCCCACCCACTCCCCCCCAAGCAAAAAATGGCCCCCAACGCTGCCCCCAAATAGCCTAATCCGACGTCGAGTGAAGTGCGAGCCTGTGACGTCATAATTGTGACGTGAAATATCGAGAGACCT